CGCGCCGCTGCTGGCGGTGACGCTGTGCTACGGCGCCATGCTGCGCGCGCTGGCCGCCAGCGGCCGGCAACACAGCCTCGCGCTGCGCCTGGCCGCCCTAGTGCTGGCCTCGGCGCTGGCCTTCTTCGTGCCCAGCAACGTGCTGCTGCTGCTGCACTACTCCGACCCCCGGCCGGGCGCGCGCGGCGACCTCTACGCCGCCTACCTGCCCAGCCTGGCGCTCAGCACCCTCAACAGCTGCGTGGACCCCTTCATCTACTACTACGTGTCCGCCGACTTTCGGGAGAAGGTGCGCCGCGCGCTCGGCCGCCCCGCGCAGGGACTCGCGGGCCACACCTCCAAGGCCTCGGGGGAGGGGGCCGGCGCGGGGTCCCACACCCGCTCCACCTCGCAGGTGTGAGGCCCTGCGGATGAGACACTCGCGCCCAGGCCAGGAGGACAACCCCCCACCCCCCGACCAACTTTGTGCCCCGGCTAGCCAGACCCCCTGGCCCTGCTGCACTCCCAGGCCAGCTCCCGTTAAGCCCCTGGAGTCCAGAGATGGAGGGTCCCTGGCCTCGAACATGGGTCCTGTGTGGGAGGAGGCGTGCTGCCCACCCCTTATGGCCCCTGTAGCTGCTCTCTTCCCCAGATTCCCCATACCAAATGTGGGTAAGTGCTGTCGCTGGGCAGTGCCTGCGAACGCCATGATGGGACTCCGTGATCCCGTGTGAGTGTTCTCCCCACAATAAAGACAAACATCCAAAGCCCCTCCCTCCCACCCTTCGCTGCAGTGCATCAAAAGCATCACTGGGGACCCAGGACCCAGACTTCCCCTCCCTCCTCCAAGACCCCAGGGATTTCTCCATTTGAAGCGAACATTAGGTGGGGGCCCTGGACAGCCCTCTTTCCCGGTGTGCCTGTCTTCTGGGCAGCCCCTGCCCCATCTGCCCCAACACAGCGAGCAGCCCAGACTACTGGGGTGCCCGCCCCAGAGGGGGGGTGTCTTTCTGAGCTAGGTCTTTGCAGCCAGGGAACTGGAGTGTGAGCCAGTAAATGGAGAGACCCTGGGCCAGGGGATGAGGGTGCCTGAGGACACACATGCACTCACGCTCCCTCTCACACTCACCCTCAGCCTAGCCCCACCACCGGAACGAGCTCATATGTGGGAAACTCACTCGGAGGGAGATATGACAAGGACTCTATTCCCAATTTATCCCAGAGGGAATCTGGAAAGCTGGTATTCCACGGTAGGAACGCCTCCACTCTGGTCAGTTAGAGATAAAGTCCAGGTACACGATCCTGCTTTAAATATCATCCCCACAGATTCTCCCCCTAACAGTGCTGCTGCCTTAAACTGAGCACACGGTTGATTTTATCTCCCTATAGAAGGGGACATTCCTTTGTTATCTCCTCCCACCCCCTTATACCTTCCCCTAATGCAGGTTTCCTCACTTGTGAGCTCAGGGACCTTACTATAGTTACCACCCACCTTATGATGTATGTAACTACTGAATATGCATGTCTTCTGGCTACCTATAAATATCCCAAGATAGTAAAGACTCCCTCTCTCCCACCTCCACATGGACCATCAAGAGGGGCTGAGGTGAGCAGGCTACTATGAAATGTGTCTGACTCCTTTATTTTAGTCTCTCTCCTATCTTACATGACTTTACGGTAATCTTCATATAGTATTGCTGTACAGTAGCACCTATGGACCCTGTGGTTTCTAGAGGCTGGTTTCCTCTGACACCCATCAGAGTCAGCTGCCATTGGGTGGACGCTGATTTGCAGCAACCCCAGGCACACCTGCTCCTAACTGGTCAGTGGGGTTCATCTCCAAAGACCAAGCCATGATGGGAAACGTGATCACTGAGTGTCTTCTGCCTCCAGGGACTTCCATCTCCAACCTCAG